TGGTGATCAATGCGCCTTTACCTCTCGCTGTCGCGTGGGGTGACTGGAAGGGGACCGCGTAAATCAATGGCACTTTTTTGTTTCCCCGGCTGATCGATGGGCCCTGGACGTGCCGAAAGGGCGAAGCTGCCGGAGCCAAACAAAGGGTCCGGCTGGGCCGGGGTGGGGGGGCCGCCCTGGCCCCCAGCGTCGGGGGCACCACGCTGTCACCCGCATTGGGGGATGCCCCGTGTCACCCCAGTCCTCACCACTGTCACCACCACCATGGGATGCTGAGCCCAGCTCCAGCCCCGCCGCGCTCCAGGCCTTTCCCGCACCGTGGGGATGAGCCTCCACAGCACGGGGGTCCGGCCGGGGGTCTGGTCCCCCCCATGCCGCTGCCGCCGGGGCCGGGACGTGCTGCAGTGCACCAGGCGTTCCCTAGCAGTGCATGAGCGAGCGTGCGGCGCTCAGCCCAGATTTATCGCAGCAGATGGGAGCGGAATGGGAGCGGAGCGGCCGCCCGGCTCACCAGTGGCTGCGGCTTGCCAGGTAGCCGGGGCCCCGCCGGTGCGGGGCCAGTGGGCGCTGAGCCCAGCCTGCGCTCGGGACGGTTCTGCCAGGGGACATCCATCTGCCCAGCGCCGACAGGCTGCTGGAAGGTACCACTGCCTTGCAAAGCCCTGCTCTAAAAATGCAGTCGTGCAGAAGTGATGCTGCCCGTTCTGCTCCTGCGCTTAACCCTTCGGGCACTGCCGGAGCCTGCCGTGCCCTGCCGGCCGCGCCACGGCTGCCAGAGCCCAGGAGGGTCCGTCCTGACCCAGGTCGCCTGTTGCTGGAGCTTCCCAATGGCCGCGGGGTCTGGCAGGGACTGGGCAGCCCGTGCCTGCTCAGTGGGTGTCAGTGAGAAAGGAGGCTCAGGCTCTCGCTCTGGGTGTCTGTTCCCATCCTCCTGCCTGAAAACAGGGCCCGTGGGCTCCCTGCCAGCTCTGCCTGCCCTGCGCTGCCGGATGGTGCCGCAGGCAGAGCTCAGGGTGCTCCGGCGATGGCACTGGGGCTGCCGGGGTTCGGGGGCATCCAGCTGTGTGGGGTGTTGCTCTGTGCCCGTGGGGCTGGCGGTCACGGTGCAGGAGCCAGGCGCGGTGGGGACGCAGCATGGTAGCCAAAGCTGCTGCCGGAGTCCCCTGGACGTGGCCTGGGCCATGGTGGCCCCGTGGCTCTGCCTGTTTGGGCCTGGCTCCAGCCTCTCCCGGCTGGCAACGATGCTCTGATACCTGCAAGCTCCCAGCACACGATGGCCAGCGATGCCCGTGGGGCTCACCGCCGCGGGGAGCAGGGCTGCCAGCCCCCCGCCCCCCCCGCGGGGGGGCGCGGGCCCCCCCCCCCCCGCCACACCGGCTGGGGTCCCCTCTACCTCCCCATTGCGGTGCTGGTGCGGCTCAGTCCAGGGGGGACCTCGGTGCCGCGTGGAGCAGCGCTCATTAGCGAGGCTGTTTACCAGGAGCCACGCTTCCTAACGAGCCGCAGAGCGGGGTCCCGGGGGGCAGGCGCTGTGCCTCGGCGCTGGGTGCCGCAGGGGAATGGGGTGGTTATGGCTCCCCGGCACCCCAGGACAGGGTTTCACCCGGCACAGCGGGAAATGGAGCCGGGTTTCGCTCCCGCGGGCGCAGAGACCCGGGGTCTGTGCTTCCTCCCGCCCCTCCTGCCCGCA